ACAGCATACTTCATCTCTAATCACCAGGGCCATGCCTCTTGACCAAGTCTTTTTAAACCACATGCAAAATATGATGTCGCTTCTCCCGCGTAGCATCTATCAGAGAGTATTCACATCCCTCTCTCCTGGCTAAACTCTCTAAACACCTTTGCTAGCTCACCTTATATACACCGTTCTAAGCCGTGTTATTAACAAAATGAACCATCAAAATAGAAACATTCGGTTGCTTTAGGGCAATTCTAGCACTCTACCTTTGTTGTAATAGCTCCATGACAGTACATTCGTGCAGATGTCTTCGAGCGTTAACGATTCCGTTTATGCGTCAGTATTGCACTTAGTACAACCTTCAAAATATTTTCCAAGGTAGCATCGCTTACACATCACAAACCAGATCCAATATTGACATATTTGTGTTAGATTTCTGGTCGCGATAAGTATTTAAGCAATGCAACATTTTAAGTTCATAGTTGGTATAAAGTAGAATTGCAGAGCGCTTGATGTAAACTGTGACGTTGAGGAAACGCGTACGTCAAGTCTGTTCCAGACGCCAGAAGTTCCCTAACTGTTTCTTAGAGCAATATTCTGAAAAAATAGGAATGGAGGAGCAGTAAGGCACTTGGATATTAACACTGGACAGTGCATACAGAGAGTAAAGTGTAAAAAATACTAATAACCATATCTTTTATTGTCTGATTTTTTTAGTTGTTTCAAATGTTTTTTATCTGATGTCAGTCACACAGTCCTAGTGTAAAAGTCTGAGTTAGCATGTTATTGGTCATGTTAGTAGAATAGATATTTCAGCATAAAATTGGAAACATGAGTCTGAATAGTGAGCGTAGGGGAACAACCTCAATATCACAGAATGATTGACTTGTTTTCAATCATAAAGAGGCTGATACTAACAAAGTGTTCTGTCACACAAACATGGATGGATTGAAGTCATCGCCCTCACCATCAATGCTTGCTAGTCAGTAACTCCACCATCCCTCGTTTTGTGAAGTTTAGCTTATTTTTGGATACATATCATACCTCGCACAAAGTTCTGTGTTCCACATCCTGTTGAAAAACATTACTTCCATAAGTGCCATTTTACAAGCTTATCAGGCAGTTACAAATTATGGACTGTGGGTAAAGCATCAATGCAATCCATTAATTGAATATAATATAAAGGATATTTCGTGCCTTAAGGTAACCCTCGTGCTATTGATAGAAGAAACCAGAGAAGTAGTGAATAGGTCTTTATTTCGATCTTCGCGCAGTCACAGTGGAGTGTGGGATTATCTGTTCAGACAAACAAAGGCTCTCAACATTCAATATAAGATCATAGGGAATATAACGCTCATAAAAAATAAGGAAGTGAATGAATACTTGAACAATACTGTTTTATCATATGCTTGGTTGTTTGGGGTCAACTCTTAACCAACCAACCTGAGCTGTTACAGATACTTTGTCAATCAGGGTACAAGCATTAGAAAAGTATAATGTATAATAGTTGTTTATTAAAGTGGGTGGAAAAGTATGGAAATATATTAGTAATAGATAAGGTAACGAGTTGTGAAATAAAATTAATGGCAAGTCGACATAGTGTACAGGAGAGAAAGGCGCTAAAGAGGAATAGTCAAGAAGGAACTCACATTAACTTGGTGCTGATGTTATTTTGCCCCATGCTAACCGGCTGACGGGTTATAGGCTCCATAGATGCAAGACAACTGGTAGTGAACGGTCGATTGTGTGGTGCTTTTGACTTTTAGTTGTAGTAGCATCCGTTAGCAATGTGTAATAGGTTGCGTTTATGGACCTACAGATACCGCTCATGCAATGGATAAATAATTAAACCTTTCAATCTTTAAATCTTATTAAAGTACTAAAAGCAATTATTTGGACGCAGATAGCCAGAAGACCCACCGGAAAATCCAACTCATTAGACCTAATTTTCATGTGCAATGCTTCAACACATAATAAATATACTGGTCTTGAATTTTTATACAGGGATTACAAAATTGTAGCTCATCACCCTAGTCCGCGAAATTGTTCATGTAATTATGATGGAACAGAAGTTTTCATAGACACTATCAGAAACTTTGGAAACATCGTCAAGTCCTTCTTCGAAATTCCACTACGTGGTCTTGGTTGGGAGAAATCGTTTTTCCTCCAATAAAGTCAATACTATACTAGATCTTTATCTTAATCTACAGACTTAATTTTTCCGCTTATAACAAAAGCTACGTTTTTCGTATTGCGATTATATCCCTATGAAATTCAGATATAAACTGAGGCAGTCGCGGAAAATGTTTTCTTATTTAACATAACTTTTCAGCTATTCTCAGCATCCAATGAGTATTTAGCAATAATAAAAGAATCCGACAAACAAATGAATTAGAAGCCAAACAACAGTTTCCCAGTTCACAAAATGAGAAAAATTTCAACAGTTTGTCTGAAGAAGAAACTTCTCATCAATCTAATATTTTTAATATCCTAAAGATAGATGGTGAACTTATAAGAGACCCAGCAGAACTATACAAGCTGCTTAGCAACACATCTGCACAGACATTTATTATATGTAATCAGGATGGACGTAAAGCTAGCAGTTTCAGCACATATGTGTTAACAGACCTGAAATTTACGCGAGGCAACAAGGTCATTAAAATCTTCTCTTTGAAGTCGTTACAATAGCCAATGTAATTAAAAACGGGGTCCTTATATTCCTATTCTGTTTACTAAAATATGTAATCTGTCATTAATTCAGGCATTTCCTCTCCGTGTCGGAAAACTGCGTACGTCACTTCACAAAAGAGTCTGAACTCGACACAGTTTACTATCTTCAGGTTAGCCAGACTTTCATATTACCCAGAACTATGTAGATTATTTAGAAAGTGATTGGCAACCATCTAAATAAGCAGTGATTGATTATATCTTCACAACATGGATTTATTTCCAAAGGTTTTGAGTAGTCTGTTACCTACAATAATGTGATTTTATAATAAAAGGCGGAGATGAAGGGAAGCTGACTGCCACTCTCTACTCCGACTTTGGCGAAGCATTTAATTTAAAGACTTTCAGTATAGCACGCAAAATTCATCCTTCCTGAAGGGTGGACGCGGGTGGTGAAAATAATAGGATACTTCTCCGACCCTCAGCAAACTGTAAGTGGTGATTTCCAGGGTTCAGCCACTTAACTTGCATTGCTTATCATGTATGTTAATGACATATGCAATTGCTTTACACATGGAAAGACATTTCTGTTTGCCGACGACTAAAAAGTAGTATATGTATTCCACCCAAGTCCCAGTTTAAATTTCAGCTGTATAATGTAAAAAGGTCAGGATAAACTTCATTGTATGTGTTCGAACTCTACTGGAATAGTTTTCATTTATATTCAATCACTTGCGTTCTGTAGGCAGACATAAAGTCGAGAAAATACAACACCATTTTACAAGACTTTACACGCCTGTATCCCTTGTGGTTAGGACGAATTAAACTGCTTTATGGACCGATTTGGAGTTTCCCACACGTTTCATAGAGCCTAACTTAGACAAGCTACATTTAACAATGGGGCATCCAACATCCTTCCTGTTTATCCTGTATTAACTTTTTACTCTTCTGTACACTATGTTGACTAGCAATTAATATTATTTCTCCACTCTTTCTCTTATCCACAACTCATATACTTCTATAATTTTTCAGCCTGCTTAAATAAACAACTATCCTACAATATACCTTTCTTAACGCTTATACTCTGTTTGGCATACTATAGACAACAGAGGCACTGCATCGATGCTTTACCCACAGTCCATAGCTTGTAACTGCCTGATAAGCTTGTAAAATGATACTTATAGAAATAGTGCTTTCCAACAGGTTGTGAAACAGAGGATTGTGTGAGGTATGACGTATATACAAAAATAAGCCTAAATGAGCCTAACATCACAAAAGGAGGGAGGGTGGAGTTACTGACCAGCAAGCATTGATGGTGAGGGTGATAACTTCAATCCACCCGTGTTTGTTCGGACAGAACATTTTGTATGTATCAGGCTCTTTATAATTGAGAATAAGACAGTCAATCTAAGATATAGATTGTCTTCCTACGCTCACCATTCAGACTCATGTTTCCAATATTATGCTGGATTAGCTATTCTACTAAGACAACCTATAACATGCTAACTCGGACTTTTACACTAGGATTGCGTGGCTGACATCGGATGGACAAAAAAGAAAAGAAAAAAAACAATAAAAGATATAGTCACTAGTATTCTTAACACTTTACCCTCTATATACACACCCTTCTAATAAACCGCTTCCCTTGTACCAACGTTGACTTCCCTTCCTTCATGTGAGCTTACTCCAACTTGTTAAACATCACAACTCATTGTTCTTTATTAGTACATTCTCTTATATGGAGCCTCTGACTTCACTTCACTCTAACAAGACATTTAATGAATTTATTCTAATTTATTATACCTCTGTCCGTTTTACTACACAATGTTAAGCAACCTTTGGCGTTCATATCCAAGTGCCTTGCTGCTCTTCTGTTTTTCTTTTTTCTCCTTCAGAATCTTGCTCTGAGAGCACAGCTATGAAACTTCTGACGTTTGGAGCAAACTTGACGTACGCGTCCTCCCGGCAACGCTCCTAGGGTATCGTCCACTGATGGGAGTTGCGAGCACTTGAAGGTCAAACTGTAGCAAACTGATTGGTGCGTCACATCGACAATTCGTGAAAATTTTCAGAAGCGGTCAAATCAAGACATTTTTAGATTTGAATTGAGTTCAGCCACATCATGTCTAGTAACGTTCATTCTTCAAGTAACGAAGACGATGCCATCGTGATGATGCATAATATAGGTAATATGACTTCTGTGGTTAATAATATATTTTTTAGTATACGTGTACTAAGTACGTTATGTCAGTATGCAAAGAGAACAGTGATGATCCAACTCTAAAGTACTTTTTCGTGAGTTATGTCTGTATATATGGACGTAAACGCAGTTCGTTAGAGTCAGATGTTTGCGTTCAGGATGTAGATGATGATAGTAATAATCATTCTTCTGAAGAGCATACAACTTCTAACTCGCCAACACAACCTAGGCAAAGGAGACGACGTCGGTCATCTACGTATGCCTTACTTCAAATGAATTTATCCTTCAGGTCGAAATATTGCGTTTCAATGACTACATGCTGCCCTGTGGTCATATTTTGTATGCACATTCTAAAGATCTGATTCGTGGAGGTATGTGTAATCCTTTATCTCTACATGTTTTGTAGACTTATTTCGACATAGCAACAAGTGGACAAGAAAATACATAATGGACCTGGTTCTTCGTGCGCTGGACAACATCTCAATCTCTACAGGGAGTGATGATCTGCTAGAGAAGTTCGCTAGCGACTACCACTCAATCCATGCTCTTAGTGAACCTTTGGCAAGTAAACTCATCCGTTCGTGCCTCGAAGCATCGGAAGACATATGTGCACAATTGATGAGTTCAATCGGTGCTAATGACGAAGCTACAACGTCAGAATCCATTGTTAATACAGACCATAGCTATGCTTCTTGATAACAAGAAGTTATAATATTGTAATGTTTTTAGTTTTACATAAATTCATTTATATGGCCATTGACTTATTCTTATAGCGTAATGGCAGGGAGTGTACTGTGCAGTCTTATGTGGCTGTGAGACAGGGGTGTTGTTTCGCGTTCTTGTGTAATAATTACCAGTTTGGCGCACACGCGATTAGTCATACATACCGTTTACCAAATACTGCAAACTTGAACATGGTGTACCATACTAGTAGTTCGAATTTCGACCTGTCACGATAGATACGAATTGCCGTAATTAAAAAACTGGTGCGTTATAAATGAAAACGTTTATTAAAGTTTGAATCTAGCACAAATGATCCATTAATAAATAACTTCTATTTCTCAGGAATTGTTCCCGTTAGGTCTGTGAACGCTTGCGAAGCTAGCTGGAAATAAGATAGACAGGAAAGTTATTTCAGTATAAATGTTTACCAGAAACTAATATAAAAACGGAAACCAGTATTCAATTACAGATCGAAAGTGCATTTAGCACACCCTTTCTTTGGATAGTCAATCACGCTTATTTCCTTTATCTCTTGCGTTGCTTAGGAAAGTCTGGGTCACAACATACACGGAATGTATTATTTAATTCTTTGGACAGGTTGCACTTCGGAAACTTCGACGACGAACATATATAAAGACTGCTGTGTGAATTTACTTTGAATCGTCCTGTGTAACCTGCAGTTCTTGATGCATATTCTATTCTAGTCCCACGTAAGTTATGAGTAATTGTCATTTACGGCATCAGCACGTAAGCTAGACAGGCCTTGGTTGATTTCCGAAGATCATCACATAGGATCTCACACAATCTGGTCACCTTAGATCAAGATATCTTGACTATCGAGTCGTACTTTTCAATGCTTTCTCGTGACAGCTTTATAGCAGTACTTATTTCTGCTATCAGGTATTTTGGCAATAATACCGGCAGCCAAAACATTGTAGCTCCCCAGACAACCCAAAAAGGGGAAATAAAGGGGTAAATGCTTTGGTAGCGAAAGGGGAAAACGCATCAGAATGTCGACTTTTTTGCCGTTTTGTCGATAAATTACTCACTTTTTGCCTAAATGTCAGCTGAATTGTCTGCTTTTCGCCTAAATACACACAGAACTCCCTATTTTCCATCCATTGACATAACCCCAAAGGTCTACTATGTTCGCCTTTATTTTCAACAACAGACCAAAATAAATCTGCAATACAGTGTAAAACCGGCATGTTTTTGAAAAATTTTATTTAAAAGGTAAAGCGTATTATTGTACAACACTAGAGCAGAAGCTTAAGCCTCGATTGTTTTGCATATCCAATGCAATTGCTAATTCATTGTTATTTGAAATTATCTGCAAAAGAAGAAACACGTGATGTAATATTTATAAGGAATGTGCATTTATTCAAAAGTTCACTGACACTCAAACACACATTCTCAACACTTCTACAGTTTCCCATGTAAGTAAAAAAGTAAGCTGTTTGAAAAATATTTATTGAAATGTAGGTAGAACATCAAAACAATTGCACGGCTATTGAGAATTGAGGTAGTCGTCCCGTGAATTCAGAATTTAAAAAAAGAAAAAAGTCACAACCATCTCTCAATGACATGCTTTGGTACAGCCAAATAATTGTGTAGATCTGTAGTGACTCACGTTTATCACGAGAACACGACTGGTTTAATAAAAACAATTATTATTATAACCAACTGTACCAGTGTTTGTTTTAATGTGCTTTTGTTTAACTGTGCTAATTATAGCCATTTTGTGCTTCCATTACCTTCCATTATTGTTCCGCGGTTTTTGGTACTGTTCGCACGTACTCCTGTCTTCTGCTTCCACTTGTACCATTCCTTGGCACGATCTCGGTATTCGTTCAATACCACGAGATCGCCAACGAAATAAATCTGGTTACGATCTATCCTCGCCTTCTGATTTGTCTGGCACGTGTTTCTGGGTAGCGGTGTTCACAGTTAATCTCAACTCGACACCACGCTACAATTGGTGATCCCAAAGTTTGGAACACGCCTCAACCTCGGGTCAAATCTTCCAAAGAAGCCAATTTGGTGAGTCTGTTATTTATCTATCCACGTCTGTCGTATATTTTCATATTAATTTTTAATATATAATATACACGACATGACGGATAGCGAGAAGAATACTATTAATGCTATAGACTCAGACGTACAGGCCATTCATTTTCGACCTGTATCATTTATCCCCCACGACCCTGAGGTCTGGTTTGCTGCGTTAGAGTCTCAGTTCGAGACTCGTCGCATCACGAGCCAAAGGCAAAAATACGCCTACGCTCTCGAGTCATTACCCGGGGACCACTTAGTAGCTGTTCGTGAGGTTGTCCTCAATTCTAACGTACCTAATGTTCATGATCGCCTCAAAGAGGCAATTCTCCGACATTTCCTCCCATCGAGGGAGGAACGATTTAGGACACTGTTAGCACGTCACCCCCTGGGTGATGCTAAACCAAGCCACCACCTCACGCGCCTGCAATCTCTTGCAGGACCAACAGCAAGTGACTCAGAAATAGTTAAGGAATTGTGGCTAGAGTCACTACCAGCACATATCCAACCCACTGTGACGGCACTGCTCGAGGACTCACCGCTTGACCAGGTAGCCCTCATAGCAGATAAAATTTTAGCGAGGACTAGCAATAAAGATACCTATGTAGTTGCTTCAACGGCACGTCCTAAAGTAGACTTGGACGCCGGTCATTCCTCAGCTCATGGCGACAGGGACGGGTGTATCCACACACGTCTTAGTTTTCTAGACCGTTGTAACGTACCCCAACCCTACGTCCCCCGAGCTCGCTCAAGTTCTCGCAAACGCGTCACCACTCGCCCAAAAAGGGCATCTTCCAAGCCACGCCGAAAGGCGGCTACGGAAGCGAGTGATAGTTGGTGCTGGTTCCATAGGTCCTTCGGGTCTGGCGCCCGCCGTTGTCGAGCACCATGCTCATACAAGGCGGGAAACGCCAGCGCCGGCGAGTAAAAGCGGCCGTACTCGCCGGCCCTTCACCCCAGGTTGGTCGCCTATTCTATGTGCACGATTACCGCACGAACGCTAGGTTCCTAGTAGACACTGGGGCCCAAGTTTCTGTCGTACCACGAGGTAGCAGCAAGTCACAAGCCACAGTGCTTCGACTACGCGCTGCGAATGGCTCAGTCATTTCTACCTACGGTACACGACAACTCGCGGTCAACCTGGGCAACCGACGACGGTATCTGTGGACGTTCATCATTGCTGATGTTCCCACAGCCATACTAGGTATCGATTTTCTACAGCACTATGAATTGCTTGTCGATTCACGTAGGCTGCAGCTAATCGATACTTCGTCGAACAGCAAATTCATGGGCTGTAAAGCCCACATGAACGCGTACCGAATCCTCGGCACTTTTTACTCGCGTGACGATAAATTCCACGCTTTATTCGAGAAATTCCCCGTACTCACTAAACCACTCGAGGAGCTTCCATCGGTGACCAATCGTGTGGTACACCACATAGTCACCCGCGGACCGCCAGTCACGGCACGACCTCGCCGACTGGCACCGGACAAATTAGCTTTTGCTAAGCGTGAGTTTGACAATTTACTAGCTACTGGTATTATTCGTCCTTCTCACAGTCCATGGGCCTCTCCTCTACACATGGTGCGCAAAAAAGATGGGGTTAGTTGGAGACCATGCGGCGACTACCGAGCTCTAAACGTAGTTACGCGCTTTGATAGCTACCCCATCCCCCACATACACGACATCACGGCATCGCTCAAGGGCACGACTATCTTTTCTAAGATCGATCTGGTACGAGCATATCATCAGATCCCAGTCGCTCTTGAAGACATCGAAAAGACTGCTATCACGACTCCTTTCGGTTTGTTTGAGTTCCTACGAATGCCATTTGGATTACGGAATGCTGCTCAAACTTTTCAAAGGTTTATCGATAGCATTGTACGAGACCTCGATTTTGTTCACGTCTATATTGATGACCTGCTAATCGCATCATCAAACGTAGATGAACATTATCAACATCTTACGCTATTATTCCAACGCCTTTCGGATAATGGAATAGTAGTTAACCCAGACAAATGCGAGTTAGGTAAACGAGAAATCATATTTCTGGGTCATGTTATCAAGCAAGAGGGTATTTTACCTTGTGAGGACAAAGTGCAAGCAATAAAGAAGTACAACGAGCCGTCCTCACTCAAGGAACTGAAGGCTTTTCTCGGTTTGGTTAACTTCTACCGTCGTTTCATCCCACACGCGGCAGAACGGTTACGACCACTAACCGACTTATTACGCGGCAACCCACGTAGATTGGAAATGAACGATTCTGCACGTACTGCATTCACTGAAATCAAAACGGCTCTTGCGCAAGCCACTCTTCTCACCCATCACGATCCATCAGCCACGCTTAGTATAGCGGTTGATGCATCCGATGTCGCTATAGGAGCAGTCATGCAACAAAACATCTCCGGTAGTTGGCAACCTCTCGAGTTTTTCTCACGACGCCTCACTACCACGGAGACGAGATATAGCGCTTTTGGTCGCGAGCTGCTAGCAGCCTACTGCGCCATCAAACATTTTCGGCACGCAGTAGAAGGACGTCAATTCATTTTATTCACCGACCATAAGCCCTTAACGTATGCTTTGCATACCAAGTCTGACCGCTACTCACCACGAGAGTGCAGACATTTGGACTATATCTCTCAGTTCACGACAGATCTTCGTCACATCCAAGGCAAGTCGAACTGTGTTGCCGATGCTCTATCATGAATCCAAATGAATGCAGTTACCCTGCCGGTGCTCGATCTTCCTGCTATGGCCGCTGCCCAAGCAAACGATCCCAGTTGTACAAAAGCACCACACTCTACGTCCCTTCAGTATCAGGAAGTACCTCTAGCTACGACTTCTGGCACCATTCTATGTGATACTTCTACCGGTCTTCCTCGACCCATCGTACCCTCTGCTTATCGCCGTCTCGTATTCGATGCCCTGCATGGATTATCTCACCCAGGTATCGCAGCTACTTTACGCCTCATCGCTGCAC